CCTCTTCCCTCCCTTCCTGTCCACCTTAGTGAGGTTTTGATAATGTAATTATTAAAAGTAAAATTTTTTTAATATGAATTCTTTTTTAAAAATTTACCTTTGTTTTCAGTTTTTTATTTTCTTCTACAATAGCTTCATATTTTTCTTTCATTTCTGCCAATTCTAGACGAAGCAGCTCTATTTCTGGATTTTCTGGGGTAGCAGCTCCTAAGTGATGCTTTAAAAAACTATTATCATTGTTAAGAATTTACTTCTTAGAGCTGAATGAAACTATGGAAATAGCCCAGAGTGGCATCAATATCCCTGTCCAGAGTCACCCACCCTACCACCAGTGTTTACCCAGAAATCACCATCCAAAAACTCAAAGTACCTTTCTCAGTAAGAAAAAGCAATTTAAAGGTTATTATGTATCTGAAAAAAAATAAGAGTTTCAAAAATAAGGCCTTTTTCTGACTTCAGAAATGAAAAGGATACTCCAAAGCACTATTAGGTTTCTCTGGTTCTTCATATAAGGCTACCAACACTGCAAATCAAAAAGCAGAGAAAGCAACAATTAAAGTCTAAAATATCAATGGCTGAAATTATATTCTATAACCTAGTAAATATTAGGTGCCAACTATATACCAAGCACATTGTTAAGGCTGTCCGTACAATGATGAACAAGACCGACAGGGTCCCTCCTCTCAATGAATTTACGGTCAAGTTCAAGGTCCTAGCACTCTGAGAGGCCAAGGCAGGCAGATAGCTTAAGGTCAGGAGTTCAAAACCAGCGTGAGCAAGAGCGAGACCCCGTCTCTACCAAAAATAGAAAGAAATTAATTGGCCAACTAAAAATACATAGAAAAAATTAGCCGGGCCTGGTGGTGCATGCCTGTAGTCCCAGCTACTTGGGAGGCTGAGGCAGTAGAATTGCTTGAGCCCAGGAGTTTGAGGTTGCTGTGAGCTAGGCTGACGCCACGGCACTCACTCTAGCCTGGGCAACAAAGCGGACTCTGTCTCAAAAAAAGAAAAAAAAGATAAGCAACGAACCAGACAAAGGGTATCAAGCAGCAACACTGGATAATGGGCTATGGGAACACATTGGAAGAACACCTAACTCAACCTAGAAGATCAGGGATGGCTTCCTAAAGTAAGGGAGAGACCTGGGACATAGGCAATGAATGTTTCAGATAAAATGGGAAGGACCTGGAGCAAGAAAACAACATATTGAGGAACTGAAAATTCAAGTATGTCTAGATGGAGTTGTGAGTAAGGTGGCAGGAAAGGAAGTGGGAAGGGTAATCAGAGCCAGATGATGGAGGGTCACGCAAGTTTGGTTGGACTTTGATCCTAAAAACAAGTATGTAATTAAACAGTTTTAAGGAGGGGAGTGACTCTTACAGCTGTGTGGAAGACTGACAGGAATGAGACAAGGATAAAAAAGGTAAGAGGCTGATGTGGTAATCCAGTTAAAAAAGACAGCAACCTGCACTAGAGAGATAGAGGAATGGGAAGAAAATCTGAGAAAAATTTAAGAGAGAATCAACAGGACTATAATTACTGGAAGTGGCTTTGAATTCAAAATGTTCTTCAAGAATGAAGTTTCATACACAACATGCTAAATAACCACTAACCAAAAACTAGCAGTAATCATGTTCGAATCAACATTAAAATATATACTTTAGTGGTTTTCATACACAGTAGCTGTTATGAGAACCACCTTGCTCATCTTCTCTTGAACAAATCCCTCCTAGAACTCATACAAAAATATCTCTAAACCAGTGGTTAACCTTTTTGTGCATGGAACTCTTTGAAAAATCTGATACAAGCAAAAAAACAAATGTAACCACACACAAAAAACGGTGCATATCTAGACCCAAGTAAAGTTCCCATTGTAAACCAATTTATATGCTTCCCTTTTGTTCTTTTAGAATTTTAATAGCTTATCAAAATTATATAGACAGTATGAAAAATCAAATGGGCAGCTACTTTTAACAATTTACATTGAGTTCTGATAGTTACTCTTCATCTCTCTAAATACACTTACAGCACTATTTTTTGAGAAACTGGTATCTATATACCACTACTCTCTCCTCCACTCTCTCCTTTCAATATGATACAGAACTTTAATCCCTGTCTTTATTACCTTTTTCTTTAACTTTTATGCTCAAATCTCCATTTCTTCTTCCATTAATTTCCACTGATCTCTACTGAATCCTAATTTTATAAGACATATATATTAATACTCTTACCCTTTTGTCCTCTTCCCCCATCCCAGTTCTTTTACTTTCTAAATTTCTGTCAGTGGTACTTACAAGGTTGATAATTGCAGAACATAATGTAAATGCTAAATTTCCTTTGCTTTTCTATAGATGAAATACACTTCCTTTTAGTCAGACAAGAACTCTATATCCAATCATGTTCCCCTTTTTGCCTTAGCATCCAGGATTTTTAGAGATTGTTATAGTGCTCAAAATAGTTAAAACACTGCTTCTTCCAAATGATATATCATCTTTAAGCATCCTCTTACAGTGTTTTAATGTTACAGTTTCAAATCCTCTTGGAAATAAGCTGGATAAAAAATATAAATTTGTGTAAAGTACCTATGTTTGAAGCTGAAAATCAAATTTTAAATCTTATCAGTATACACTAAAAAATGGGATGAATACACAAAAAAATAAAGTAACAACAATTAAAAGAAATAAAAATAAAAAAAGAAAAAAAATAAATCTTATTAGTAGATACTGTGTTAAATTGTCTGATGTTATTTAGAAATCTAAGGAGATGGAGGGATTAGATTCCAGTTTATGTGAGCAAAGGAAAAGAAGCCTCCAGAAGTTTCCAATATTTTATGAAGGAAAATCCTTATATGGCCACAAGGCTGTACATCTTTCTGTAGTCAGTTACCTCCTACAATTGCCACTTTTCTGCCTTTTACCATTCTGTCTTTCACTCACTCCATCCAGCCATGCTGGCCTCCTTATACTTCCTGGGAACTCTTGACATCATAAACTATTTCATTCAGGTCCCTGCCCAAAAGTTGCTTAAAGAAAGGCCTTCCCCCTACACACCATATCCCCTAACCGTGCTGTTTTTATTCACAATACTTACCACTAGCTGACACTATGTATTTGTTAAGTCTCCCCCAACTAGACTATAAGCTCATGAGAGCAGAGACCTTTTCCCCCACTGCTGTATCCTCAGTGTCTAGAACAGAGAGCTGAATAAAATGGCTAAGTGAAAGAAAGGAACTTGTGGAGTTTTTAGAGGGGATGACATTCCAAGCATCTGTGATACTTCCAGTGACAACAGCCCATTGCTTTCAGAGTAGTCCCTTACTACTTGATTAAATTTGTTTGCAAAGACATGGAAAACTAGTATCTCAGCCCAGAGTACATAGCAATTCAATTACTGGTCCATGCATGGAAATTAAAAGCCTGCTTTCTGCTTAGACCCCAGAGTTGTTATTCTCCCCGAACTTTCCCCTCATCTTTGCTTTTGTCCAAAGAGAGTCATCAAATTATTCCCCACACACTTCCTATTGTCATATGATCCATGTCCTCGTCCCGGCCATCAATTCCATTCTACACCTTTGAATATCCCAGCCAGTGAGTTGAGTGACACAGAGCAGGCATTCAGATTACTGCTAAGGTAATGAAGTAAACTGTACCCTACCTCTTGGAATCCTCCTGTTTCACACACTTTACTCATCTACTTAGATCTTAAAGCCATGAAGGAGGTGGTACAGTGTAACAGTAAACTACTGTTTTAAAAAGTGAAAACAATATAACCATTTTGATGTGCCCTCAAGCTCTTTAAACTACTTCTATTTAAATTATGAAATCTACACAAAGTAGGAATTGATACGGCGAAAACCGTAAGGCAGGAGGAATTGGGATTTCAGGGTCTTTAGCAAACACGTCCACTGCGGCTGCTCAAGGCAAAGCAACGGAAGTTGGAGAGACTTTGCAACAGCTGCAGGAGTTTCACTCCCAGCGCGGTGAGTGGTAGCGTGAGCTCGGCTACCCCACCCGGGCGGCGTCCCGCAGCCGGCGTGCGCCGGTCCCCGCCTAACCCCGCGGCCCACCTGGCTGGACCCCGGACAGGTCCCACCTGTTTCCCCCTCTTTTCCTACGCCGTCGGGGGCGCAGCGCCGAGGAGCACGACGAGGGCACCAGGAACCCTTCCTAGTCCATGCTCACCCTTGGTCAGCGTGTCCAGCACCCCCGACTTCTCCAAGTACCTCCGGAACTGCTCACGCTTCGAGTCGGCGGCCTGAGGAGATACCGTGGGTCAGTGGCCAAAGCCGGGGGGCCGGAGCAGGAAGAAGACTGGGAGTCCGGCAACCCCGCCTCCGCCTGGCTACCTCGGGCCCCCCCAAACCTGCGCGCGCGCCCCAACTCCCACCCGGAGCCGCCCAGCGGCTGGGTACCGCCCGCACGCCCCCAGCCACGCCGCGCCCCCCTCACTTTGTAATGGGCCATAGTGACAGCGGCAGCGGCGTAGCTGGCGCCGGAGTCGGTGACTGGCGGGCTCAGAGCAGCAGTGCTCATGCGCGGAAGGGGCCGCACGCCTGCGCACTTGCGAGCCACGGGCCAGCCTCGCCGGGGTGTGGCCTGTTTTCATAGCGACCAGGACGCTCTGAATCCCCCGTTGTGGGCTGAGCCGAGGGAGACTGCGTGCGCCCGCCCCTCCGCTGTGGGAGGAGCACCTCTTCCTCTTCCGGTGCGCGCGGAGGTTCTGTTGCTTAGCGAAAGGCAAGGTTTGGGAAACTCCGGACAAGTGTCCAGGTGGAGACAGAGGTGGGCACGGCGTCCGGAGGCGGAGCCCCGGAGCACTAGGACTACTGCGGGAGGGAGGATCGCTGGACGATGATAGTGGGCTCATGTTTCTCAATTGGGATCTCGGAAGCTGTGGTGACCCATAAGTGCTGGGCTTCTTGGCTCTCATTCCGAAAAAAGTGTGCAGGGCTCTCCAGTGGCTTGGGAGAGTGTTAAGAATCGCATGTTTCGGCTCCAGCATTTTTTTTTTTTGGAGTTTTCTTGATTTGTGGCTGATTGGATGTAGGCCTCTGAAGGGTGAGGAGTAAAGTGCTCGCCAGTAGCTAGCACTTTTGAGCACTTAATATGTTCCAGGCACTGTAGTCAACATAGGTATTTTTCGTTTTTATCCTCACAGCATCCCTGTAGGATAGGTACTATTAGTAAAGTGGCGAGATTAGATGACCAGTGAGTAGTAGAACCAAGACTCCAATCTGGCAGTGAATGACAATGCTATAAACTGGTGAAGGAAAGCCACGGATTTTTTTAATATTTTATTTACTAGGTAAAAACATGATTATACTCAAGACATATCAGGTTGCAGTCTAGAAGGAAACTAAAGTTACTAAGTTCCAGGGGCAAACAAAATTAACCCTGTGTCCAAAGATAAAGGATTAGTAGTAACTAAAAAGAGGAATTATGAAGATCAAGAACAATTTCCTAAGGCTGTGGTCCCTTCAGAGAGAAAACCTGGTCAAACCATTTAGCCTAGATTCTGAACATATGATTTTCTCAAAATCAGTTTCACACATTCCGAAGGGAGCCATAAACTCTATGTCTTTGAACTTAGAGCTATTCTTCACAATCCAGAATTAGAGCTGTTTTTCCCTTTCTGAAATGATAGTGCAGTTGTCTGTCAACAGCTGGCCTTTAGAGCTGCCCTTATCCATTTTGTCTGTGTTCCAACACTACTAGGCTATTTGTTTGATAATATAATATACAGAATGTCTAAAAGCCATCAGCTGTTCAGATCCGAAGATCTGTGGGAACCCGCCTACCAGTGAGATTGTTCATCAGAGACACTATATGATTTGAAGAACAAACAGTAGGATTATTGCAGGTTCTGACAAGCTCAGGCTCAAAAGACAACTCTCCCGAAGAATCAGGAGTGTTCAGAATGTCAAGTGAGTGGGAGTCTCCTTGTGAAGAGGGAAGGGTTCTGATTGTGCCCTCTCTGAACTGGCCCTCAAGGTTACCCTTAGAAGGTGACCCCCGGTTTTCCTCTTCTGTGGAGGGATCCCATGTAGCCCTAATCCACTTTGGTTTCCAAGTGCAGTTAGCTGACCGTGAGAAAGCTGTTTGGGGCAACTGCCCCATGTGGTTGTCCAGATCTGTAGCAACACCTGGTATAGAACAGTGACATCTGGAGTTCTTTTTGCTGTCTTTGCCATCAGTTTCTCTTTTTTCCCTTAACTGGGTACCATTAACTTCTTTTCCAAATATTTTATGAGTATCTTTGTTACTATTTGAGCCAATGTGTTGAAGATGACTACAGGAAGTACTAAATGTGCAAATCTCATTAGAAAGTACAGTTTCCTGATCATCTAAAATGCATTTCTCATCATTTACACTGTGATTGTCAGGATTAGCCTGAAATGCAGAAGATGAATTGAAACTAGGATACACTGCTGTGTGTGTTTGCTTTTCCACGAAAAGATTATAATCAGGTGCACAAGGGAGTCGCTTCAGTGAATTTGCAGATGTGTTCTGATATTTGGCTAGATTTTGTTTTGACTTGTTTGCATAGAATTCATTATGTTCATCCTTCAATTTATATTGTCCCCAAAGCCCTCTTTTAATCTTTTTAAAACCTAGGTGGAAAATTTCTAGAATGTTTAAAAAAAGTGAAATAGTGGCTATAGATTGCATAAATAATAGAAATATTGTCTTTTCAGTTGGTCTTGAGACAAAACAATCGATTATATTTGGACATGGGTGGCCATGGCATTTAAATAGAGGCTCTAAGTGAAATCCATATAAAAGGTACTGTCCAATCATGAACCCAACTTCAACCACAGAGCGAATGAAAATGTGTATCACATAAGTGCAAAGCAAGGTTCCTCTGAGTGGTGCTTTATTTAGTTTCCTTTTCTCTAGCTGACAAAGCTCTTGCTCCAATCTCCTGCGATCTCCAGGCATTTCAAACTCTACCCCTTCCAGTTCTCCTCTTAGTTGAGCTTTCATCCTCTGCCTCTCTTCCTCTAGAACTCTCAGTCGGTACAAAGCATGGCCCATGTAGACCAGGGATGGTGAAGACACAAATATCACCTGGAGAACCCAGTATCTAATGAGGGAGATGGGAAAGGCCTGGTCATAGCATACATTTCTGCAGCCTGGTTGTTCAGTATTGCAGATGAAGCCAGACTGCTCATCATTCCAGACATCTTCAGCTGCTACACCCAGAACAAGCATCCGAAATATGAACAGGATGGTGAGCCAGATCTTTCCAATCATGGTAGAGTGGATGTGAACTTCCTCCAGAGTATCTCCAAGGAGATTCCAGTCCCCCATGTTTATTTAGTCAGCATCTTAGCTCTGAACCCCATCAAATAGGAGGCAGATAAATTCTTCCATTCTGAAGGGAATGCTGTTTCTTAAAGCAAACCTATAGCCAAAATATGAACAAAGCATCACTCTTTCCATGTGCTAGCTGCTTTATTTTTTCTCTAGATAACAGCGATAATCTGTTACCAAGAATGTATTATAGATGTCAAGAACTTAAAATCACTGATGTTTAGACATCATAATGCAGTGGGGAGAAAGTGATGCCCGGAGGAGGAGGAGCGTATGTGTTCTCTATTAATATAATTGGGTTGGGCGCCGTGGCTCATGGCAGTAATCTTAGCACTCTGGCAAGTTGAGATAGGAAGATTGTAGTTCGAGACCAGCCTAAACAAGAGCAGTCTACTAAAAATAGAAAAATTAACCAGGCGTGGTAGCACGTGCCTGTAGTCCCAGCAACTTGGGAGGCTGAGGCAGAAGGATGAGGCTTGAGCCCAGGAGTTTGAGGTTGCTGTGAGCTAGGCTGATGCCATGGCACTCTAGCCCAGGTGACAGAGTGAGACTGTTGTCTCAAAAAAAAAAGAATATAATTGGAGGGTTCCCTATCAGAGAGGAGTCGTTACTAAGCTGAAGTTTGTTGTTATTTTTTTTTAACAGGGAACTTTTGTAGAAGTTTCTGAAACAACTGACTTGATCTTACAAACTTTATTTACTAAGATTATTTTATATAAAAGCTTTAACCAAAGTCAATGATTTTTAAATCTCATTTATACACAAAGGAAAATGTGCTTCATTTGATAATTCAGTAAGATATAGCATTTAATGAAACCAGAGGAAATAGATCTGGCTCTGTTATAGGAATTTAGATTAGTTTTTTAATCCAAATTTAAATGAATTCTGGTTTCTTTCTGGCACTTGGTGAGCATTTTCAGAAATTCATTTCAGAAAAAGAAAAGAAGAAATTCATTTCAGTAATATTTATGAATATTTATAAAATTCTTATTATACTTTGCCATGAAAAATTTTGTAAATATCATGTTTAAATGAACTCCAAAAATTCTCAGCTGTTTTATGATATTAGATATTACTAGAAATAAATTGATCACTGACATGGTGTTATAATACAGTAGTATAGAAATTTTCATTGTAATAATATTGGATCTATTTAAGACATGTAGCTTGCTTTTTTGAAGGAAACAATGGGGCAAGTTATAATTTAGCTACTTGGATTATCTGCCAGTAGGTTCAATAATAAGACTGACATCCTAGGATATCTCAGATGAAATAGACCCCAGAGGAAAGATTTAAAAAATGATTGTTTTTGTTCTATTTCATTTAAAATATAAATGCATGTTCTATCCTCTATATGAAGGGAAATGTTGCACAATCAAACAAAATACTAAGATATTATTAATACAAGATGCGTTCATCACAAAAATCCTATGAGGTATGTTGTTTCCCCCATTTTACAGAGGAAACTGAGGCACATTAATTTACCCAAGGTCACGCAGCTGGAGCTGGTATTCAAATCCAATCAATGTGGCTCTAGAGTCAGCTCTTAAGTGTTTTACAAAACTTATTTTTCCTCTTTGAGCAAACTTGAAATTTACAAGAAACATTGAGATGATGTTTCTCTTAAAATCTTAATTATTTAAATTTAGGGATGTCAAACAGTGATAGTTTTGGCTTTTTAAATAACCAGTTTTAGAGTCTTTGGTTACTTTCTTAAAGCTTGATATTACTAATAAGACTTGCAAAAGCATCAGCCTTCTAAAATTTAGTTGTATTCCTGAGATAGAGAAAATCTCTACTGACTATTATGTTAATAATAGTATGCTCTGACCCAACAATTCAGAACACTTTCAAATGTAAGTATGTTTGTCATGTTATTGTTTATAATAGTCATAAGTTAAAAACATCTAAAATAATTATCAGTACAAGAAAAGACTGGTTAAATAAATAATGATACATCCACAGTGTGATACTATGCTACCAGTAGAAATGACAAATATATACTAATATAAAAAGATCTTTGACATATTGTTTCAGTGAAATTCAGGTTATAAAATAGAATAGTATGGCCCATTGTAAATTTAGTTATATGTAGAGATGCATACTGAAAAGTCTAGAGGGATAGTCATCAAAATATTAACTGTTATCTCAGGATGATAGGATTACAAATGACTTAATTTTTTATGATTATATGTTTTTACCTTTTTTTACCATGAACATTTTGCTTTTATAATCACAAAAAGAAAATGAATTTTTTCCTTAAAGAACAAGAACATAATATTTCCTAGGAGCAGTATTATTTAGCTACAAATTAACGCTTTTATAGCAAAGGACATGAAAATTTGTATACAAAGATACAGTACCATAGAATTCAAAAGCAAAAGATAAAAACATTTCAAACAACTCTTAATTAGCTAAAACAGATTAACACAAACCTTTCTTAGTTTGGGTAAATCTGAGCAAATCATGCTTAGAAGTTATACCGTGGCCATCTTCATCTTATTCTCTGTGTTTGTCCCTTTGCAGGTGTAGAGCAAATGCAGTGCCGCTTGATGCAGTAAGTGAGTCAGCCATTAACTGAAATCCATTCCCCTTTCTGCTCATCCTTGCTTCTAAAACTGTGCTGTCCAATAGAACTTTCTGCAACAATGGAAATATTCTCTATCTGTGCTGTCCAATAAGGTAGCCACTAGCTACATGTAGCTATCGAACACTTGCAATAGGGTTTGTGTATCAGAGCAATTGAATTTTTAATTTTATTAATTTTAATAAAAATTTAAAGAGCTACATGTACCTAGTAGCTGCTTTATGGGACAAAGATAAGGAATGTTTCTAATATTCCTAATAACACAATGCAGTCTAGAAGACTAAAGTTAGGAGCCCCAAATTAAGCTGAGTAAATGATTCTTCTATAATTCAGAGATGTCAAATTTAAAATACTAGGGGATATTTGCTCGCTTTTCTTATTGTAATTTTTGCCATTGGGGGAACCCAATAAAGTGTCATTGTTTTTGGTAAAGTGAGCTACATTTCTAGTACCAAAAAGTCTTTCTTACTAGGTAATAACTTCTTAGTCATCAGCCTTAAATAATCAGTGGTCATATCTAGTTTCATAGTTAAATAAATCCTATTTCTCCTATTGCTAGTTTTCTGTTATTAACAATTACACTGTACTTTTAGGTCATTGAAGGGATCTTCAGAATAAGTGGCCTGGTGCGATGGCCATGATAGATGAGTGTTTCTTCCCTGGGCCTCTTTGCCAACTAATAGCTACTTTTCAGATTAAGTGCAGACATTTCAACAGGGAAAAATTTTATATATGTGTGTGGATATATACATACAAACACATTCATGTTTGTATGCTATGTATTATATGAATTATATGTGTGTAATATATAAATTATTAATATAAACTTGAAAAATGCTCAACCTCAGTAGTCAGAGAAATACAAATTTAAATGTATTATTTTTTAACTATCAAAATGAAAACTTTTCAAGATTTATAATACCTTCTTTTGGCAAAGTAGAGGGAAACTGTTATTCTCATATACAGTAGGTAAATGAATACAGCTATTTAAAAGGCAGTTTAAATCTAACAAAATCAACATAACATTTCTGCTTCTGGGTGCTTGAAATATTCACAAAACACACTCAAAGACACACTGTATATGCTAGCATGTTCACATAGCACTGTTGGTAATTGTACAAAATCAGCAACAATTTAAATGTCCAGTAGAGGAATGATTAACTATAGTACATCTTCAGCAATTCAGAGAATAAAGATCTCTGTGAACTAACACAGAAAGATCTCTGAGTCCTATTGTAAATCGAGTTATAAAACAATACGTGTATCTCTTACTAAAATCTATGTTTTGTAAGTATATCTAATTAGCTAAAATAAAGTAACACAAACTTTGCTTACTTTAGATAAATCTGAGAAGCAAATCATGCTTACAAGGAGTTTTACCATGGACACCTTCAACTTGTTCTCTGAGGTCATCCCTTTGTGGACGTAGGACAGATTTGGTGCAGTTCAATGCAATGAATGAGTCAACCTCAACTAAAATCCATTTCCCTTTCTGCTCTTCCTATATAGAAAAAAAGCGTGCAAGGATACACACCATACTGTTGTGACTGCTGACAGTTGTCATCGCTAGGGAAAAAGAGCAGGTTTGGAGTGAGAAGGCAAAAGAAGCTTTTATCTTTTAAGTTCTTGTTTGAATCTTTATTTACTTAAATCTTTATTTACTCATATTCTCATGCTTGTACTTAAATTTAAATTTTTTTAACAAATCCAGATCAGTTTTTCTCAAAATACTAAATTATTAGTAAGCTAAATACTAAAATACTACCTTTTCTCATTATATAATTAAGCATATGTACCCCTTTCAGAATACATTAACACATTTAGATGGATGTTTAATAAATAACATATGTTGATGAAAAGGAGAAAAATTCTATTTCCTTAGTTCAGGTGACCTAAAACCTATGATTTAGAAAACAAAATGAACAGTAACCTGGATTCTATACAGGGAAAGGACATAGGCTTCTCTGTTTTCAGATAAGACATTTTACCTTTTATAAATAAATCCTATCCACTCCTAGGAGAGCCACTAGCCACATGAAGGATGAGAATCTGATCACAGATGAAAATCTAGAGTCCAGGTACATAGTGTACACCAGAAAGCCAGTCTCAGGTTCCTCAGGATCTTAGACATACTATTAGAATCTTAAGCTAACAGTCCAGAAAATTCTCAGTCTTATTCTGTAAGAAATTTCTACCATTCATGGTGTACCCACATAGCTGTCTATTCCTATACTTCTAGATACTCTAACTTTCAGAATTTTGGGAACACAGTATTGTTAGATCAGCAGGGGAAAATATGGGTTTTTAAGTCATTACCTATGTTTAAATTCTGTCCCCCCTCAGACACTTGATTTTTAAAAAGAGTTTCCATATCCTCAACTCCAAGATATAGAGTAATATCTACCCTTCTAGGTTACTGAAAAGATTAGTAATAAAGCATATAAAACACCTCGAACAGTAGTGATCTACGTACTCAAACAGTCATCTATTTTAAAGTGATTATCAAGAGTCCGACACAGGTATGAAAAGTTTTTATTATCACCATAGTACAATATTCAAAGGTTTTATCAAGCAATCTTCAAAATATATCCTCCAAGGAGAGCAAGTCTTTTTTATGGAATACATTCATGCTTACCATGCCTAGGAAGAAGCTAATCTCTGGTTTTTACTACCCTTCTCATTTCTCTCTTCCTCTTCCCTCTCTTTACATTCAGAAGTTCCTTCCTTAAATCCTAAGGTAAGCAGTCTTTGCAACTGATCAGTTGAGTGTTGTTTTTTCCTCTTTATAAAATTGTTAGACTTTGCCAAGACTTCTGTTTCTTCATGGAGGTTTTTCCATTTTTTTCCTCCACATGGCTCTTTTTAATTGACTCATATTAGGGGCAGGTCAGTTTGCTGGCGATAAGAAAATGTTGAAAAACACAGCAAATAAGACACAAGCCAAATAAGCAGCAATTGCTATCCAAAACCTTGGGTCTTTCAGCAGTGCTTTATCAAAGCAGCTAAACACGGTGTACCCTATGGACATTCCAGCAAATCCACCGGCAATATGAGCTGCAAAAGACACCTTTGGAGAAAAGGGGAGAAAATGGAAATAACTGAAGAAAATGCTAATTGCATATTTCAGTTGCATTTCTCTTACTCAAACACAAATACCATCACAGACAAACAAGAGTCCTTAAAAATCTGGAGAACCAGGGGCTTAGGCTAAAGAGACACAAAACTCAATGTGCAAAGAGAGGAGATGCTCTAAAACATGCAAAGCTACGTCATTTTCACCCATTCTCTGAGTACGCAAGACCAGGGCCATTGTTTCTCATTCTTCTTAATCAGTGCATTTAAGATGGTTCTATATAATGCAAACCGAGAGAATAGGGGTTGAGTCACCCTGAAGGATTCCTATAGAAACATAATCTGATCCCACATAAGTGAGATGTCAGAATTAAAACGCAAGTAATAACATACACACAAATAGTGAAACAGAAACTACCAAATTCAAATTCAAAGACTAATCCCAACAAAACTGGAAATCTTTGTCACTTTTTATCACAAATTTATATGGACCCAAGTTTTCATTGCTGTGTTTCCAATCCACTTTTTATTCTCTGTAAATAGGGTTTCTCCTGTTTTGGAATAGCTAGCAAGATGGCATGTGCAGTGGAGTTGAGCACATTGGTAAAGGATATGAAAGAGTTAAGTGAGAAGGACAATCCAAAAGTCTGATTTCCTTAGGAATTTTCTTAACTTCCAAATGGAAATCTGACTGCCCTAAATCACAGAGTGGTAGTCCTTATTTGATGACCCTTTTTAATGGGTAAATTAAAAAAGGAAGAAACTGAACTCACCGGAGACCCATTTGCAGGGACAAAGAATCTTCTGTAGAGAGCAAATCCCATGTCTGACACAACTAGAAGGAAAAACACCCTGATGAAGCCCCAATCCATCTACAACAGTCCATCAAATGTTTTTGGTTCCCATAATAATAATAATAATAGCTAACATTTATTGAGACTTACCCTGTGCCCGATGCTGTTCTAATAGGTCTACATGTATTAACTCATTAATCCTCATGGCAACCCTATGAAGTAGATACTATCCCATCTTACAAATTTATTCATCCAAATATTTATTGACCATCTTCTATGTGCCGGGCACTATTCTAGGTGTTAGATTAGAGCTGTGGGCAGATGAGACAGCACTACCTCATGGAGCTAACAGTCTAGTGGGTGGGAGGTAGACAAACAAGTAAAACACGGTTTTATTGTCAAATGGTGCTAAGTGCTATGGCGAAAATACGAAGAGAGGAAAAACAACTGGGAATGCTAGGTATAGGATGTGATTTTTTAATAAGAGGGTCAGGAAGGCTCTTTCTGAGAATATGACATTGGACAGAAATAAGGTAGCAAGCCATCCTGATATTTGAAATAAGAGTCTTCCAGGCAGAGGGAAGAGCAAGTACAAGTCCCTTAAGGAAGAATGTGCCTGGTGTGTCTGAGGAACTCCAAGGCAGTTGACAGTTGATCTGGCTGGACCTGTGGTTTTCGAAGTGTGGTTCTCTCCAAGGCAAGCAGCCTCAGCAGCATCTGGGAACTTACTGGAAATGAAAATTCTCAGACTCACCCTAGATCTATTGAACCAGAAACCTTGAGGGTAGGGCTCAGCATTCTGTGTTTTAACAAAACCTCCAGATCACTCTGGGCTAGAGTTAGGGATAAAGTGGTGGGTGATGAGATCTGGTTAAGTAGCAGGGGACAGATTATGTAGGGACCTTATGGGCCATTGTAAGGACTCTGAATGATAGGAAGCCTTTGAAAGCTTTTGAACGCAGGAGTGACATGACCTGATGTATGTTTTAAAAAAATCATTTTGGATGCTATTAATATATAGGAAATAGACCATAAGAGAGCAAGAGCAGGAACAGGGAGACCAGCTAGCAGAATAATATTGCAGCAATCCAAGTGAGGAATGATGGTGGTATTTTATACGTAAAAGAAACCAAGGGCTGGGTGCATGGTGGCTCACGCCTGTAATCCTAGCATTCTGGGAGGCCGAGGCAGAAGGATTCTTAGAGGTCATGAGTTTGAGGTTGCTGTAAGCTAGGCTGGTGCCATGGCACTCTATCCAGGGCAACAGAGTGACACTCTGTCTCAAAAAAAGAAACCAAGACACTGAGGCTTCACTCTTATCCACCATGCTAATTGCCTCATTACCATCAGGAGTACTGAGGGTGAGCCATGAAAGGACATTCTCCAATGGAACCATGAGAGCCAGAACTTAGACATTCTTTAAATAAGTCAGATCTGTGCTGCAAAAGGAGCTTCCGGTTTCTTGGCCTAGAAGAACTCTGCCCTACAGTATGTAGGGTGCTTAGTAACTCTCTTGCAGACAGCACATTCCACACCCATCCCCCAATTCCCTGTGCTCTACTTAGTGAGCTACTGTGTCCTAGGAGATTAAAAGGCCTAGTCCTTGCCTTTGGGAAAATAGCATCAGGATCACGTGTCCTGGCTAGTTCCCCTTTCAATACTGTATTGATGTTGAGGTCACTGGACAGAAATTGAGGTCGAGGAAGTACTCAATATTAATTTCATTGTAAATGACTATCACACAAAGTGCTGGATAAATGAGGCTGTATGATATTTTCAATTCGTTGTGTTTCCTGATCCAGTGTAAATAATATACAAATAGGACTATGAAAGTAGGAGAAAACCACTGACAGGGAACAGGGCAGACTTACCTGGAAACTGTTACTTTGATCTGGTCTTCCAACAATAGGAGGCCTCCCCTCAAAAAAGTCTTTGTAACTATTAGCATGTCAATATCTGGTTTATCTTGCCCCCTTCCTACATCTCTCCTGGCTCTTTCCTCTTTCTGCTTCCCAGAAACTCCAGGGGAGTTTGCTTCTGGGCTGCTGCAGCCTCTAAACTCAACATATCTTCCCCACCTGAAAAGCCCTTATTCCAATAAACCAAACCATTGTGCTTATTAAAAATTTGACATTCATCTTAAGAGAATTGCCATTATAAACATTTTGTAAAGGATGAAGATGTGAGCTTTCTTTAACTTTTCCCAAAGGAAAGCTCAGTTGCTTAGTTAGAAAACACATGCCTCAAGTAATGCTTGATGAAGGAAGATCCTTAAGGCCAATTGTCCTTCAAAATTAAGAAGAATATTTGCCATTTAAAACAAAACTAAACCTGTATACATATTTCTAAGGAAATGTGTTTCAAATAAAAATGTATTTGTATTTTATTAATCTGATATGAGTCATAACTCTTCTCATTTTCAATAGGAGGTAAACCAGGCCAAAGAACTTATAGAAATGACATGTGCCAAGAATTGAAGAAGGTTAATGATAGCATGTCCTGCCTCCTCAGTGAGATGTTTGTAGGATATAATAAAAGCACATCATTCACTGATTTTATTACTTACCTCAAGAATGACATAATATTACACAGACTATCTTTTGAGATTCCCTGGGCATGAGGAAAGGGTTTTCACTCCAACACTGAAGAGTATTAAAGAAGTATATTAAAATCATTTCCCCATTGTGGGCATAAGGTTTATTTTATGAAAGTCACCCATAATTACCTAAAAGAAGCTGATTGCCTGAAGAGCCAGGTAACTTGTGTCATATTTTCTTGTCAAATGACTCGTCCCTTGGTCCTGGTTGTGACTCTTAAATCAGGAGGCAGCCCTGCTCCTACAGTGACTCTCCTGTCTCCCAGATACTTGCTTTCCCTCCTCTGCTGACAATTTTCCCTTACCTTTTGGATTTCTTGTGGAGAAAAAAAAAATTATCTACAGTATGGTATAAGCTATGAACAAGTGAATTATTTTATATCAGGATGAAATATTGGTATTTGTACAAATAAATGGTTCATAAACTAAATTTAGTCTCTTTTCACAGAGGTAGTTACCTCTGTTCCCAAAATGTGGATAATTGAGCTCTTGATACCAATTAGCAAAATCATTTTTCTTCCTATCTGAACAGCCAGAATCTTAGGCTTTATCACATGTAAACTCTGCCTCAGCTTTCAAGTCTGACCCCAGGATCTGTCTTTCTCCCCTCAGCCCTCATGAGAGTACAGCTTCAACTGGAGCAGGTCCATAAACACAAGTGACTGTCCCACCTCTCTTCTTATTTTCTTCTACCTTGATAGGACCTGCAGTTATCCAGAGTCCCCGCTTACATTCAGACTCAACTAAACTTCCACTGCCCTCTCCTCATCCTTTCTAAACTCCTTCAGCTTGAAGTGCTAGAATTCTCAGAGATTAGTCACCCTCCTAGTTTTTGGGCCTCTCAATTCCTAGACCCTCCACTCTCTCATCTTCAGTCCTCAACCACCACTCCATGTTTGTATACTAGATCAGTTTTGTCTTCTTTATCCGAAAATTTAGAAATTGAGGAAGAAGATAGATCATATCAGTGGTTTCCAACCTTTCCCTTTGCAGGGGAAAAATATATATATGGGGGGGTGGGGGAGAGAGATACAGACTCCAATATATGAAAGAGAAAGTCCAGTATACAAAAAACATAAGTGAAGATATTGTGGCTGAAGTAGAGGGAGTGCCTAGAGCTCTATTCCCTTGGCTTCCCCAACTTCAGAAAGACACAAAAAACAAAAACATCATGTAGCCACATCTAAGAACTACCCCTAAAGTTCTGTGAAAATTCCTCCATTTACCCCTTTCTGCTTAAGGCCAGAAAGCTGACAGTTCTTTCCAACTCTAGGCTAGCAATCATCTTATCATCTTCTGTCTTAGTGTCTGGGAAATGTTAAAAGGCCTTCTGAAGGCTGAACCAATAAAATTGAAAGTATTATGAAAGTTGATTATGTGAAATGGATCATTCTTATCGAACCCAAATAAATCAGAGTTGAGGGGCCAGGGGGCAAAAGAATTCAAGGTACATAGCAAAGCTCCAATAATTGAATTCTCTGCAAGCCCAACTGCTGAAACTACCTGCTATAACCTTAAGACCAGTTATACCTAAAAGCAGCTGAAATGACCTGCCACAACTTTAAGACTATTTCTTCCTACCACCATCACCCACCAATCACAGCGTGCTGGCTCTCAAAAGCTGCTCAAGTGCCAATAGTCTTTCTTTCAAAATAATACATAACATATCTCTTTCTAATAAAACTCCCAGCCTTTTCTTCCTTCTTTGGAATTACCAAAGACCACCCAGGTCTGTGTGTATGCCCAAAATTTCAATTCAATGATTCCAAATAAAACATTTAACTTATAGATTCATCTCCATGTTTTATTTTGACTTCAACATTATAAAGGGTTCCCACAGCACACTTACTTATAAAGATGATGATCAGTAGTCTGAAAATTCCAAAGGCAGGAATCATTTCTCGAAAATTCTTGTAAAGAGATAAATAATAATCATAAAAGCTATCTATTGGTAAGCGAAACCCCACTACTACTCCCTCTTCAGCTGCCTTTCATTTAAAATAACATTTGAGTTTACAGTATTTGCAAACCAAAGCATGGGTGTAACAGCCAGTCTTCCAAATGTATTTGGAAAGTACAATGCTAGTATACTTTGGAGAACAAAATGAAACATGATGTTTAATTTCATGGTATAAACTAGACAACAATTTATTAGGTGATAATAATCTAAATACAAGAAATATAAAATCAACACTTAATATGTCAATAAATAAATAGATGAAATCCCAGCTGGGTGGCTCCTGCCTGTAATTCCAGCACTCCGGGAGGCCAGGGTGGGAGGATGGCTTAAGACCAAGAGTTTGAGACCAGCCTGGGCAACATACCGAGACCCTGTCTCTACAAAAAATTTAGAATTAGCCAGAGTGGTGGCTCGCATCTGTAGTCTTAGCTGTTTGGGAGGGTGAGGCAGGAGAACCACTTGAGCACAAGAGTTGGAGGTTGCAGTGAGCTATGGTCATGCCTGGGCAACAGCACTTCAGCCTGGGCAACAGAGCGAGACCCTGTCTCTAAAAGAAAAATAAATGCTCACACCTGTAATCCTAGCACTCTGGGAGGCCAAGGCAGGAGGATCATTTGAGCTCAGGAGAGACCAGCCTGAGCAAGAGTGAGACTCTGTCTCTGCTAAAAATAGAAAAAATTAGTCACACGCTGTAGTCCCAGCTACTCAGGAGGCTGAGGCAGGAGAATCGCTTGAGCCCAGGAGTTTGAAGTTGCTGTGAGCTATGCTGACACCACGGCACTCTAGCCTGGGCAACAGAGCTAGAGACTCTGCCTCAAAAAAAACACAAAACGAAATATTTTCAAGTTTTTTTGTTTAATATTCATTTGATACCTCTTCATCCTCTTTCACCATAGTAGTTAGCAAAGACTTAACTAAAATTTAAGTATTACCTAAATTTTTTGAGATAATTTCAAAAGTATTGAAAATGTTGGTCAAAAACCATTGTTTGGGCTGGGTGAGGTGGCTCACACCTGTAATCCCTAGCACTCTGGGAGGCCAAGGCCGGCGGATTGCTTAAGGTCAGGAGTTCAAAACCAGCCTGAGCAAGAGCGAGACCCCATCTCTACTAAAAATACAAATAAATTAATTGGCCAACTAAAAATATATAGAAAAACTTAGCAGGGCATGGTGGCACATGCCTGTAGTCTCAGCTACGCGGGAGGCTAAGGCAGAAGGATTGTTTGAGCACAGGAGTTTGAGGTTGCTGTGAGCTAGGCTGATAGCCACGGCACTCTGGTCGGGGCAACAGAGTGAGACTTTGTCTCAAAAAAAAAAAAAAACCATTGTTTGATTTTATCGTTTAAAATTTTCAGTCTAGCTTACAGTATATACCTGTGTCCCACTAGAGAACTGCTGAGTCAGACATTTCTACTTTAATTTATTGAGTTACTTCTCCCTTCCCTTTCAAATTATTAACTCTCTTCTCAAGGAGTAAAGATGCTGAAATAGACATATTTATTCTAAATCATTTATTTTCAAATTCTTGTGACCATGATCTATAGTAAGAAATTATTTGCATAACAACCCAGTGCACACATAAATCAACAGTACTTACCCTTATTATATGTGGTACAGAAACACACTGATTTTTTTTATTTTGTTTAATTTTTGGCAGCAATCCCTTAAATGGAGTTTATATTCATTCATGGGTTATAATAAAAAGTTTAAAAACCATTTTTCTAAGGGATTTCTAAGTTTGAAGCAGTTTTATAATTGCTTGACATTTTTCTTACTATAGTATTTTTAAAAGTATGCCCAAAAGTTTAAAGGGTTAAGAACCAAACAGGATTTTAGCCTGTTTTAAAAAGTGTTTGCCATTCTCACATGCTATCATGGGAGTATTAAATGAAATGCCACCTGTGGAGGGCAATTTGGCATATACATGTAAACCTTTAAAGCCTTTTTTTTTAGACAGGATTTTACTCTGTCACCCAGGCTGGAGTACAGTGGCATGGTCAAAGCTCACTGCAACTTCCAACTCCTGGGCTCAAGCAATTTTTGTGGCTCAGCCTCCCTGTAGCTAGGACTACACCATGCTCAGCTAGTTTTTTTTATATTTTGTAGAGACAGGGTCTCACTATGTTTCCCAGGCTGATCTCAAACTCCTGGCCTTAAGCAGTTCTCCTGCTTTGGCCTTCCAAAGTGCTGAGATTATAGGCATGAGCCATCATACTGAGCCAGTTTAAAGACTTGACCCAGTAAATCAACTTCTAGAAATTTATCCTGCCAAAAAAAAAAATCATACAAATGAAAAAAAATAAATTTAAAAGAACAGTTCATGTCCGGGCACGGTGGCTCACTCCTGTAATCCTAGCACTCTGGAAGGCCGAGGTGAGAGGATTGCTAGAGGTCAGGAGGAGTTTGAAACCAGCCTAAGCAAGAGCGAGACCCTGTCTCTACTATAAATAGAAAGAAATTAATTGGCCAACTAACATATATATAGAAAAAATTAGCCGGGCATGGTGGCACTACTCGGGAGGCTGAATCAGCTCAAGGCAAACTCCTTGAGCCCAGGAGTTTGAGGTTGCTGTGAGCTAAGCTGACACCACGGCACTCACTCTAGCCTGGGCAACAAAGCGAAACTCTGTCTCAAAAAATAATAATAATAAACTTAAAAAATAAAAGCAGTTCTTACAGCATTATTTATAACTATGAAAAGCTGGAATCAACCCAAATCTTTTCAATGAGAGATTCATTATATAAATCATGATGCAGCTATTAATATGTAGAGGATTCTATGGAGCACCTGCAAAGACTGAGGGGGATCTCTGTACTGACATGGATAGACGGTCAGGATACTCTTTGCTAAAATGCAGAACAATATAAGGGTGATTCCATTTTGTAATGTTGATATTGGTAGGATTTTGAATACACATAGAAAAAGGGCTGAAAGGATATATATAAAACCATCAACAACCTCTCTTCAAACCCCTGCCCCCACCAAACTTTTAATAAATACTATATTAATAGGGGACCTTGACTTTCTGGTTTATTCTAAATTTTAGTTAATACCCATTACTTTTGAGATCAGAAAAAAAAAAGATAAAATATGAAAGGAAAATTCTGGTGGGCATACAATTCTGAGAAACATGAATGCTCAGTAAATTTTTGTTTTTTAAGAGACCGCATCTTGCTATGTTGCCCAAGCTGGAGTGCAGTGGCCATTCACAGGCACAATCATATTGCAGCCTCGAACTCCTGGCCCCACAAGACAATAGGCATGCACCACCATGTCTGGCTTTCAATAAATATTGATAAATGACAGTTCCCTGAACCAAATAACAGTGTTTGTTTGTTGTCTTTTTTTTTAAATAAAAAGCCTATAGACTTCATCTCCAAAGTTCTTACCACTAGAACATTCATGAAATAGCCTCCCATCAAAGCATAGACGCCTCCTGAAGCACCCACAAGAGATTTGAGTGGGTCAAATATGGAGCTGGCAAGGGATCCTAAAGAAATAAAACACAAGGAATCAGATATGACTGTAAGAATGTGCAAGATAAACTTTTCTAATCTAAGATAAAAGCTTGGGAAATTTGACCCATTATCATATTAACAAACACCAAATTCATTTTATCCCTCTTTCATGCTGTAGAAGTACAGCTACATAAGCTACTACAATTTTTCTGAAACATTAAATGTTCATTAGAAAGCAGTTTAACAATAACAGGAGCACAGACTCTGGAGCCCTAATTATCAGCTGTGTGACTTGAGGAAGTTATTTAACCTCTCTGTGCCTCAGTTTCCCTACTACAAAATAGAGCTATTAATAGAATTTACCAAAATGGATTACCAGGGGAAGTAAATAAACTGATGGATGTATCATGCTTAGAATGCTGTCTAACATGTAGTATATACTTGTTAGCTGTTGTTTTAAAATATCCTCCATGTTTAGTCAAAATGATGAAAATACCTGAGACATTTCAACATTTCATTATCTAATGGCTATCTTTCTCCTTTTTTTTTGAGACGGAATCTTACTCTGTTGCCTGGGCTAGAGTGCCGTGGCATCAGCCTAGCTCACAGTAACCTCAAACTCCTGGCCTCATGCAATCCTGCCTCAACCTCCCAAGTAGCTGGGACTACAGCCATGCACCATCATGCCTGGCTAATTTTTTCTATATATTTTCAGTTGTCCAGCTAATTTCTTTCTATTTGAAGTAGAGATGGGGTCTCACTTTTGCTCAGGCTGCTCTCCAACCACTGAGCTCAAACGATCCTCCTGCCTCAGCCTCCCAGAGTGCTAGGATTACAGGCGTGAGCCACGGCGCCTGGCGTATCTAATGGCTATCTTTCTCAGTAAGCCATGAGGTGGCCTCATAATCCTTCTCAACATACCATTCAGTCAGATTCCCCAAGCAACATGAATCCTATTTGCTAACCCAATCCTAGATTTCCTGGACCAAAACAAGACTTTACAGACCACTTTATACAGATGCTAAGATGTTCTCTCTGTACTGCATAGTTCTATTATATGATCTCGCAAGGCCCTCCTTCATTCCTTAGGGTACAATACAATAAAATACCTACTTTGTGCAAGAAAGGACAAAGAGTCTGTTCTTGGGAATCTTATGAATAGTGGAGCGAACAACTATTAAAATAGAGAATTTGTACCACTACTACGACTAAAATGTAAGTTGGCTGTACTAGCACTGAGGAAGGAAGGACTTTCTCAGCAGAAGCGTGGAACCCCTGCTACTCTAAGTAGGAGATAGCATTTTGATTAAATTTGGAAGAATGGGAGAGCGAGAAAAAAACAAAAATAAAAATAAACTTAGAAGAATGTTTAACATTTGAATAAGGAAAACAAAGGAGAAGAAGGTATTTAGGACTTGGGGAACTGAAAAAGCAAAGACATGGAAAGAGAGGTATATAGATGACTGTAGATCAGTGAGAAGTACTCCGGGAACAATGATTCTCAAATGCTAACCTAGACACTAGGGCTGGAGTGGTTGTATCATAATCACGTGAGAAATTTATTTTTAAAATACAGATACAAATGTCTATTTCTGGCCATGATGGAATAACAAGAATGGGATTTACCTTCCTATTTGGAAAAGCCAAAAGCACTGGACAAAATATATGAAATAATGGTCTTCAAGATACTGGACATCAGACCACAAAGAAGAGTGAACCCTGAGAGACAGGAAATAAATTAGATGAGCTGTCTCCAACGAAGAGAGAATTCAGGTACAGAAAAAATATTTAGGCCGGGCGCAGTTGCTCACGCCTGTAATCCTAGCACTCTGGGAGGCCGAGGCGGGCGGATTGCTCGAGGTCAGGAGTTCGAAACCAGCCTGAGCAAGAGCAAGACCCCGTCTCGGGAAAGAAATTGTAGACAAAATTTATTACATTCAGTTATTAGAAATAATGGTATACATTCCATGTGCTTTTTAACCAGTTCCTAGTGGGTAACATCTTGCAAAACTTTAGTACAGTAGTACAACTAGGATATCACATTGATACAGTCAAGTACAAAAACATTTTCACACTACAAGATCTTCATGTTGCTTGTTATAGCTATAACTCTTCCTCCCCACTCTCCACTCTCCTTTACTCCTGGAACAATAATCTGCTCTCCATTTCTATAATGTTTGCATTTCAAGAATATTATATCAGTGAATAATCTAGTATACAGCCTTGTGAGATTGATTTTCTTCACTCAGTATGTTTCTAGAGATTCATCGAGGTTGTCATGTATCAATAGTTCATCTTCTTTTTATTGCTGAGTAGTATTCCATAATGGATGTACCATTGCTTGTTTAATCATTCACTCATTGAAGGACATCTTCAGTTATTTCTAGTTTTGGCTATTAGGAATAATGCTGCTATAAACATTTGTGTATATATTTTTATGAACATAAGTATAGGGTTTTGTGAACACAAGTTTTCATTTCTCTAGGATCAATGCCCAAGGGCCCAGTTGCAGGGTCATAGGATAGTGGCATATTTCATTTTTAAAGAAAATTTCAGAATGTTTTCTAGAATGTCTGTTTCATTTTACATGCCTCCTAGCAATGTATAAGATTCAGATTCAGGCCGGGCGCGGTGGCTCACGCCTGTATCTAGCTTCTCTGGGAAGCGAGCGGAGGATTGCTCGAGGTCAGGAGTTTAAACCAGCCTGAGCAAGAGCAAGACACCGTTCTACTATAAATAGAAAGAAATTATTGCCAACTATATATACAAATTTATTGCTGGCATGGTGGCGAATGCCTGTAGTCCAAGCTACTTGGGAGGCTGAGGCAGGAGATTGCTTTGAGCCAGGAGTTGAGGTTGCTGTGAGCTAGGCTGAGCCACGCACTCACTCTAGCCTGGGCAACAAAGCGAGACTCTGTCTCAAAAAAAAAAAAGATTCAGATTCAGTTTCTCCACATCTTTACCAGCATTTGGTGGTGTCACTATTTTTTATTCTACCTGTGCTCATTAGTGGGTAGTGATATCTCATCCTGGTCTTGTTATAATTTTCATTTCCCATGGCTAATGATGTTGAGCATCTTTTTTTGGGGGGGGGCATGGAGGGACATTCTGAGATGCAATGTTGATATCTTTTTATGTGTTTATTTGCCATTTATCTTCTTTAGTGAAATGTCTGTTCATGTTTTTTGCTCATTTTCTAACTGGATGGTTTTTTTTTTTTTTTTTGCTATTGATTTTTGAGAGTATTATATGTTTAGACACTATCCTTTAATTGAATATGTAGTTTATAAATATTTTTACCTAGTCTATATGCTTGTCTTTTCATCCTCTTAACAGGCTTTCACAGAGCACAAAATTTCAGTTTGATGAAGTCCTTTTATCAATTTTTTTCTTTTAGAATATGCTCTTGGGTTATGTCTAAAAACAAGTCCTGACGATTTTCTCCTATATTATGTTCTAAAAGTTAAGGCTTTGGTGCTTTACATTTAAATATATGATGCATTTTAAGTAAGTTAATTTTTGTGTAACATATAAAATTCAGATTGAGGTTCTGTTTGCTTGTTTGGCCTATGAATATAAGTTATGCCAGAACAACTTTTTGAAAAGACTGTTTCCTTCATTGAACTGCTTTTACACCTTTGTCAAAAATCATTTGCTTGTAGTTTTGTGGGGTATTTGGGTTCTTTTTTACTCCATTGATCCTTCTACTCATACTGCATAGTCTCGGTTACTGTAGCTACATAGTAATTCTTGAATCAGTTAGAGTGATTCTCACACTTTATGTTTCATTTTCAATTGTTTTAGCTTCTCTAATTCCTTTGCCTTTCCATACATAAATTTTATAATAATCCTGCTTGTATCTATAGAAATTCTTGCTGGGATTTGACAGGAGTTGCTTTAAGCCTTTCATCATTTGGGGAGAACTGACATCTTTACTATGTTGAATCTTTCAATCCATGAATACAGTATGTCTTTTATTTAGATCTCCTAAATGGGACTGTGTTTTAAATTTAGTGTCCATGTGTTCATTGCTGGTATATAGAAACACAATTGGCCGGGCATGGTGGCTCATGCCTGTAATCTCAGCACTCTGGGAGGCCAACTCGGGAGGATAGCTCAAGGTCAGGAGTTCGAAACCAGACTGAGCAAGAGTGAGACCCCATCTCTACTAAAAATTGAAAGAAATTAATTGGCAAACCAAAAATATAAATAGAAAAAATTAGCTGGGCACTGTGGCGCATGCCTGTAGTCCTAGCTACTTGGGAGGGTGAGCAGAAGGATTGCTTGAGCCAGGAGTTGAGGTTGCTGTGAGCTAGCTGACGCCAGGGCACTCTATCCGGGCAACAGAGTGAGACCTCTGTCTTAAAAAAAAAAAAAAAAACACATTTTTTTTTGTTTTCTTTTAGACATGGGATCTTACTATGTTGCCCAGGCCACACTCAAACTCCTGGGCTCAAGTGATCCTCCTGCCTCAGCCTCTTAAGTAGCTGGGATCATAGGTATGCACCACCAGACTGGTTGATTTTTATACGATGATCTTATATCTTGCAACTTTGCTGAACTCACTTATTAGGGTCCTAAGTTGTTTTTTGTTTGTTTGTTTGTTTTTTTGGGGGGGGGTTGTTTATTTTGTCTTAGATCCTTGGTATTTACCATGTCATCAGCAAACCATCACAATCAACTACAAATAGAGACAGTTTTTATTTCTTCTTTTCCATCTGCATTTTGTTTCCTTTTTTGCCTTTTGTCTGGCTAGCACATCCACACTATGTTGAATAAGACTGGGCAGAAACAGATATCCTTGCCTTGTTCCTGATCTTAGCAGAAAGCCAATTAGTTTTTCACCACTATGTTAATAATGTTAGCTGCAGGTTTTTATAGCTGCTTTTAATCAATTCATTTATTTCTAAAAAATGAGCAAGAAATCAATCAGAACTAATGTGTAATACACAGATTGACATAGGGCCCTCTTTGGTCTTTATGTGTCACTTAAATATTGAGTTTCCTGGGGTGGTGGGAAGTTCCACAACAC